GACAAAACCCTCAACTTGTCATAGGTTTTATAAAATTTTAACAATAAATGCGATAGTTGTAAACAAATTAAAAAATGGGCACTTTTCTTGTTTTTTGCAATAACTTTTTTGTTTATTAACCGATTTTAATTTAACAAGTCTCATTTTGTAGATAATTTTACTCCCTACAAGCTGTCTGTGAGTCACTTTTTGCTAAAATTGATGGTTTTTCCTGCAAAGTGAAAAAACTGTTTTCCTCACATATTTGTTTAAATAGAAGAGTTAGCTAATAAAGTTTTTTGACACACAAGATGAGAGATGTCTTGTATTATGTTCCTTTAGACAATTTTACAATAATCTCGCAGATAGGAATTTTTTCGAGTAAAAATTTTATTTGCTTGACCTAAATGTAGTGTTGGCATAAAAAGGTTAGTTAATTCTAATTTTGTTAATAATCAAATTGTTAATTAATCATATAATCAACACTAATGGTTGGCGAAAGGTGGTTAACTTACATTAATTTGGTTAATAACTGTGCTGATTAATAAAGTTGGCATAAGGTGGTTAATCAACTCTGATTTCGTGAATAATTAGATGGTTAATTAGTAGTGTTGGTAGAATTAGTTGGTGTTGGTTAATTAATTCTAATTTTTATTAATAACTAATACCACATAGCATAGCAATGGAATATTTTATACAGGGTGATTCAGAATTTATTCAAAAAAAAATATTGAATATACAGGGGACTGTTACAAATAAAATTTTGTAAAAAAAAAAAATCAAAAGGCAGTTCTAAAGTGATTTAAAAATACACTTTTGCCTTGCCTTACGCAAGACAAAGCATGTAGTCGGTGACCGGCACCACGGTGGTAAAGTGTAATTAAAAATGAACGGACCAAAAATTTTAAAAATTTGTTTCCCAAGGAAAGAAATAAATAAAATTTTAAAACATCTATTTTATATCAACTTTTGGCCGCTATTGTTATTATTAATTAATAAAATTAATTTTTTATTTTAATTAATATAGTAATTCAACATACTTGATATTACAATAACTGTTGAAAATTTTGTCCACCGACGTGTAAACAAGTTTAGGCCCATCTTACCCAGTTTCTACGAACTAACATAATTGTTGTCTTGCTTCACCATAACACAAATGTTGTCTTGATGTCCCATAATTTAAAAAGATATCCATTAACTCCCGAGTTGGTATATATATAAAAAAATTTTGACACTTGAAAATCTAATGTAAACACTATCACAAAAACGTATTATCACTGGGGCCACTTGGAGAGAGAGTGTATTGCTCACAGCATACAACGCGAATGGCATTAGAAACTACCAAGGACATTTAAATAAAGGGGACTATGCGTGTCACAGTCTATCTCATATGTTGGGTGAAGCTAGACAAGGGGAAAGCAGAGGGCTTTATTTTCATCCAACTGATGCGCGCGNGAATTGTGCGAAAACTATTGCACCTACAGCGCCCACTTTTGGCACAAAGTATGACAAAACCCTCAATTTGTCATAGGTTTTATAAAATTTTAACAATAAATGCGATAGTTATAAACAAATTTAAAAAATCGGCACTTTTCTTGTTTTTTTGCAATAACTTTTTTGTTTATTAACCGATTTTAACTTAACAAGTCTCATTTTGTAAATAATTTTATTCCCTAGAAGCTGTCTGAGAGTCACTTTGCGCTAAAATTGATGATTTTCCCTGCAAAGTGAAAAAACTGTTTTCCTCACTTGTTTGTTTAAATAGAAGAGTTAGCTAATAAAATTTTTTGACTCATGAGATGAAAGATGTCTTGTATTATGTTCCTTTAGATTTAGACAATTTTACAATAATCTCGTGGATAGAAATTTTTTAAGTAAAAATTTTATTTGCTTGGCCTAAAGGTTAGTTAATTCTAATTTTGTTAATAATCAAATTGTCAATTAATCTTATGCCAACACTAATGGTTGGCGAAAGGTGGTTAACTTACATTAATTTGGTTAATAACTGTGCTGATTAATAAAGTTGGCATAAGGTGGTTAATCAACTCTGATTTTGTGAATAATTAGGATAATTAGTAGTGTTGGTAGAAGGTGGTTAATTAACTCTAATTTTTAATAAATAACTAATACCACATAGTGTAGCAATGGAATGTTTTATACAGGGTGATTCAGAACATTAAAAAAAAAAAATTCTTGAATGTACGACGGACTCTTACAAATAATGAACAATATACAATTAAATAATACAATAATAAAATAATAATACAATACAATTAAAAATGAACGGACAAACAATTGAAAGAATTTCTATCCCAAGGAAAGAAATAAATAAAATTTTATAACATTTATTTTATATCACCTTTTGGCCGCTATTATTATTATTAATTAATAAAATTAATTTGTGGTTTTAATTAATATAGTAATTCAACATACCTGATATTACAATAACTGTTGAAAATTTTGTCCACCGACGTGTAAACACATTTGGGCTCGTCTTACCCAGCTTCTACGAACTAACATAATTGTTATCTTGCTTCACCATAACACACAAATGTTGTCTTGATTTCCCATAATTTAGAAAGATATCCATTAACTCCCGAGTTGGTATATACGTAAAAAATTTTTGAAACTTGAAAAACTAATGTAAACACTATCGCAAAAATGTAAATACTAACATCGGATTTCAGTATTCAGAATTGCCTGGAGCCATGTGGAGAGAGACCACAGTAGTCTAGCGATGTAAAGGTTGAAAGTACTTCAATAATTTTTTTCTGGGAAACTATAAGGATTTTACAAAAATTGTTTTTACGATATTGACTCCATTTTTCATTCCCAAATTTTTTTGGATAAGTTGTGAATCACTTTATGTATTATGCTGTTGAAAAATGATTGTTTCATCACACTATCCATATGACTTATTTCTCGATGAAATTGTAGTTATCATCCACACCGGCTCTATCGTCCTCGGAGCCGAGGCCTTTCAAGTGCACCGATTGTAACATAGCATTTCGAATACACGGTCACTTGGCGAAGCACCTGAGGTCGAAGATGCACATCATGAAGCTGGAGTGCCTGGCGAAGATCCCTTTCGGGTTATACGCGGAATTAGAGAGGTCCAATAGTTTACTCACCGAAATCAACACTTGCGACGGGGACCAATGCCTGGAGAGTCTAAAGGCAAGTTGTTTTATAATTTCGGATGAGATTTTTTGTCTATTTGTTGTTTTCTTTTTAGACTTTAGCCAAGAAAGTTTTCATTAATGACCCAAATAAACTGAATCAATTAGAGCTAAGGAAAAACGACGATGCCGATAGCTAGTGTTATTTTTTTGTACATACTGCTATTCTACGCCAAAGACTGAATAAATAAAATCTATTATATATACCTTTTAAATTTTTAAATATTGTTGGTACATTCTACTACATATATATTATATATATTCTCATGTGTCAAATATATTATTGTGATATTTGTTTAAGTGTTGTACATATATTTTTTTAAGTTCACTTTCTTCAGTCGAAGACGTTTTTAATATATCCTACCGCATTATGTTTTCGATTAATGTGTTCTATTTTTTATTACTAATCAAGTTTTTTGGTTACGAAATGGATTATTATTTTTTTATTTATCTTGTTTTTAAGATTTTTTTTATTCGTATATTATTTTTTTTTACCTGTTGTCAGGTATATTACAAATTTTATGTACACCGGATATGCCCATATAAATTGTAAAAAATTATGTTATCGAGTCCTGTATCATATTCTGTTGTCTTTTATTGTTGTAAATATTGTTTGTATTAAAGTAACTATAGGTTTTTGTGTAATTTGTTAATATTGTTTCTATTGTTAAAAAAAGTACAAAATAATATTAAAACTATTCGTTTCGTTTTAATTCCATACCTTCTAAATTATCACAAGTTATTCAACGGAAATAATACACGGCGGTACCTTGGAAAAAAAATTAAATATGACTATTCGTAAATAATCATATTAATCACTGTCATCGCTTAACAGTTGCTTTATTCTCTTTCTTTTAACATTTTCGGTAACGCCATCCGATTTTCTCCTTTTCCTCTTTTGAACGCGTAGCTTTTCTTCCAAGATTTCTAGTTCGGACAGTTCCTGGTGCTCTTCCACAATTTCATCATGAACTACGAAAGAATCCTGAAAAACATGAGAAGACTGCCTATAGACAATCCGAAAATATACAGGGTGTTGGAATATTCCACCGATAAAATTGAACAAGTTCAAAAATAAAAAAGTTCACAGATCTGCAAATGCTTAAGTATTAATGCATGTTCATAATTTTTTAAGTTATTTTCAATTGTTTTATACAGGGTGGCCAAATGAAAACGAAACAGAGCCATTTTCAGGAACTGCGTCAAGGTTGTAGAAAAACGCTCGGACCCATCGATTTTAGATTAAAGGGGGACGTTCTTTGCTGGTATTTCTGACTCCGCCACTTTCACTCCCACAGCATCGCCCCAAAATATTTAAATGGCATTGGGGGTCGAGTAATATTTCTTTTGAAAGCTCTTGCAATTCTCTTTAACAAAAGACTTTAAATTTTATAATTCCGCCCAATACTTTGAAAAAAATTTACATTTTAAAATTTAAATTATGTTTAGTTGCTTACTTACTACTTCGTTGATTAAATGTTCAAACTGATGACCGCCCGCTTCCATACAAGAATAAAGATTTTGTTCGAAACGTTCGCGCAGATACAAAAAATATTTATTGCTCCGTGCTATGGTTTGGGTGAACAAGCAGGAGTTCTTACAAAGAGTGACTTTTTGTTGTAAACCCACAAATAAAAACCTTTTTTGCGAACTTTGGACGCCATTTTGAAAATAAAGCCCTAATATTCAGTTGGGTTAAAGTAGTTCATTCGAGTCTACGGAATTTTTCCTAATTTTTACAGGTCGTTGTTTACTGAACTAAATGTTGGCAAAAAAAAAATGAAGTATTTTCGACGATTTGCCTGGCCTAATATAGAAGCTTGACATTTTGGTGAGAGTGTGACCAGTATATTTTTTTCAATAGAATATCGCGTTCTGTATATTTCATAGTCAAAATACTGCATCAGAAGAGATGAAAATAAAAAAAAAAACAGTTAAAACTACTAAAAATTAAATAAAACTCACATCCAAGTATGTGTCATCAACGGGAACCTCCTGAGAAAAAACGTCCACGAAACGACTCGGTTTCTGTGGAATCTTGAATTTGTCTCGTTTTCTGGGACTCCTGCAATTTCGTAAAGTACACATACAAATAAACCGAATCAAAAACTGTACGTCACCTCGTAGATTGCAGATATCTAACGTGCATCTGAGTATCCAAGTTTTGAGTGTTATCGTTTATAAAACTCGCCTCGTACAAATTCTGGTCCTCGTCGTCCTCGTCCTCGGAAACAATCACGTCTTCGTCGACCGAGAGTTCCGCTTCGTTCTCTATAAACGGATTAACACGCTAAAAGCATTGTATTAAACTAACTTGAATGTGTGCGCGACATGTAACTTACTCTTTTTTTAATCCCTCTGGGTTCGTTACCGGAGACAATTAATTTAAAACTTCTATTAGTAATTTCTAAATTTTCTTTCTGAGTCGTAATTGTTTCATCCGCGTTTATTAGGTCGATTATTTGGGTAACGGACGCTTGACTTTGAGACGGTACGTGTGAAGATCCGACGAATTTTTTTGATTTCGAAATATTTACAATGTTATGTTTAGACGAACCTTTTTGCATGCCACGACTGCTATTTGTGTTGAAATCAGTTTTATATTTCTCACTAAATTCTGCACTTTCACTGTCTTTATTCCTAAGAGATCCTCTTCCATTTGTTTGCATAAAGCTAATTGTTGCGTCTCCGATTCCAAACATTTTTAAATCACAAATATCGTCTAAGCACAAATTACTCTTAATTGGATTAGTATTCGTTGCATTATTTTTTATTTCTTTTACGGTTGGTTTTAAATCTGCACTAGTCGATAAACCGAATATCGATAAATCACATAAATCTTCAATATCGATTTTAGTTTGATTTATTTTTCCTTTTATTTCACCCGTTTCATGTTTTTCACCACTTGGATTGCTTATTCGTAGAGCTTCAGAACTATTCTTCTCTTGCCCTTGAATGTGAAGAGGTGTACTGCTGGACTTAACGGTGTCCGAAGAGAATTTCGACGGTGTCTCAATTCTGCTGTATAAGTCTGAGGAACTGTGCAATTTTAATTTTTTCAAATTTGGTTTGTTCCGTTCCTTCACGGTTGATTTATGGGAATCTGTACCACCTTCTTGCGATGTAAACAATTTTTTGTGGAAATTTTTAATATTCCTCGCTCTTTCGAAAGTGCACAGCACCGGCGAAACGTTATTTTGATTCATTTGATTATTTAACTCGTTATCGTTGGTGCTTACGTTACTCACAAAAGAATTTTCAATAATATCAGGAGAATAAATAATGGTTTCTTGAGAATCTGCAATTTTGACGCATGGTAATAAATCTTTTATCGAGTTTAAGTTAAAAAAGCCTAATACAGAGGTAGAACCATTATCAACATTCGTTTCCACGGAATTGCATATCTGCTTCGTTTTATTTTTCTCGTTAAACTCAATCTTCGGTAATTCACTTGCTTCCACAACTGATGTACTGTATTTATTCAAGAGGTTATCGAAAGTCTTCGGGGCCTGATAAGTGAACGTTTTTTCTGAAGGAGGGATAGTACATATTTCATTCTCTAACTCCACATCGGAATCGTCAGAGGATTCCCCTTTTTTCGGCACCTCCGACACAACACTGTTCTGAGTTTGTTGAATATCATTATCGGGACTATTTTCGGTATTACTTTCTGATTTCATGATTTGGGATTTGAAAAACGTTTGAAGGTCACCTAACGTGATATTCAGCACCGACTCGTCGATTTGAGGCCATGTTATTTCTTCCAAGTTAGGGGTAATACAGAAGCTGGTGCAATCAAAATTATCGGGACAGTGCTTGCACCCTGTATTATTGCTTGACATTTCGATTGATAAGTAATCAGATATTTCCGACAACAGTTTCTTTGAATGGTGCGAAACTTTCTCCTCTGCGTAGTCGATTGGTGATGGCCCCACATTTTGGGCTGGAAAAATTATAATGGAATATAGCTCAGTATATGATGGTTTTTAGGTAATTATTGACACATGCACCGATTGGCGTGAAATTTTAAGTAAGGAGAAAATTGCTCAATAAACAAAAGTTACATAGTGCCGATACGTGCTTTCACCCTGGGGGTGAATGCCACCATTTTTCGGGGGTGGCAATGAAGGCGCCCATTTTATTCGCAAAAATCAATAGAGGGATGAATTCTAAGCAAAAAAGTGCTCTATAACGTTTTTTCCAAAAATTTATATTTTCCGAGTTATTTGTGATTGAAAATGTTGATTTTTCATCTAAAAAGTGCATTTTTTTCAACAATTTTTGATAAATAACTCAAAAACCTTGTGTTTTATCGAAAAACCTATATGAAGCAAAAATAAAGCTTTTGAAATAACGAATCGATTCATTTTTTGTTGATTACCGTAGATGTAATAATAACCGAGTTATCACTCTCTAGAGGTGATTGTTTATTTTTCGGAAAGTAAAATCGAACAGTTTACTGTAAAATAATGGCAAAAGAACTAATTTTTCAAAGAAAATGAATATAACCTTTTTTAAAGTGCTTGGAAAGACCTTTCAAACGCTTTTTGAAAAAATTTCGTAGCTCAAAAACTCGCGGAGTTATGATCAAAATAAAATGATTATCTCATTTTTTCGGAGAAAAATTCAACAATAAAATCTATGGCTGAACCATAAAAATAGAAACTAAGCATAATCCATGTACAGTTGACTTTATTTAGATACTAATAATAGGCTCTGCAAGTTTGACCGGTTTAGAATGCCTAAATTAAAAAAAAGCTTGAAATAATGAGAGTAATTTTTTTATTTTTAAAAAAATTTCCTTTTTTTCGAAATAACAAATACTAAACAAGATACGTGGAAAATCTAAGAATTCAAATATAAAGGTTTTTTTATAATATTTTTGCTCTCTTTCAATTTTTCTCTAGAGCAAAAATTAACTGATATTACATTTTTTAGTTTGCATTTGCGTGTAAGGACCACTTTCTTTGAGTCCTTAAATCCTACAAATCTAGAAAACGAAGAGTTCAAGACCCTTCAACTATAAAGGTTGATTTGTAGCTCTTGCAATTCCCTGCAAATTGCTTTTCCCAGCGATGAAAAATATTAAAAATTAAAAAAGTTATAAAACGAATTGTATTATTCAGTGAAAATTGTCGGATCGTGTAAATGGCTTAATTTCCGAACAAGTTCTGGGAACAGTTGCCAAAATTGTCCTCCAATCACGAACCAAACAGTGATGATAGTTCTTTAGATGATATGTAAATTTTTGATAATAAATTATAATTGTATAATACACAAATAATTTTTATTTTCCCTTTCACTAATTACATAATTTAAGTTTCGAGTTTTAAGTAATCTCGTTGAATTTAGTAATGTATCGTTGAATGTTTTTAAGCAGGTAAAAGTTCTTCAATTCCTCATTAAGGGTTGTTTTTAAGGGTTGAAACGTTACAATGAATCATGTATTATTTCATAAACAGTAAAAAATATTCAATTTTTCATTATTGCTCCGTCAAAACATTTGAGAGCAGCAATTTTTGTTTTTTTTCCTCATAAAAGTTGGATTTTAAGGGTTGAAATGTTGTTACAAATCAAAAATTATTATTCAAAACATAAAATAATGCTTATTCTATTGACTTAAATCTATGGTTTTTACGTTTTTTGCAAGGAGGGTGGAATGAGCTTACTCACCAATTTTCATGAATATCGGTGCGTGTGTCAAGAATTTGGAGGTAATACCCTATTTTTACCGTTGTATACTGGACTAATAATCAACTTCATAAAAACTAAAACAGTGATAAGCTTTACATCTCGATTTCAAATTTAGATCAAGAAAATACAATTCATCAAATACAAGGAGTAACTTTAAGTGGGAGTCAGATTTTTTAGGGGTTTAGGTTTTCAGTTTGTTTTATAAGTTTTACTTGAAAATAAGTTTTTTTTTTCGAAAAACATAAGAGAGTAGTAATTTGTAGACAATTGAAAGACGAATCCAAAAATGTCATGTTTGTTACTGTAAAGCAGTGCCACACTATTTTATTTAGCAAAAATATGCCTCTGATACCCCTTATCTCCGCCACTGGAGCATCTAAATTTTAGGAAAAGGCCTCAGATTTTGGACAATGTATACATACATACGTGTGCCCAATTTCAAATTATTTTACGTACTAATTTTTAATTATTAAAAAAAATTAAAAACAATTTTTTAAATTTAACACCCTGTATCTTTTTAACGAAGTTTCTTAGATAAAAACTTTATAATAAAGACTCTCCTTAAAATTCATTACAGAAAATGAGGTTTTATTTTTGATTACCATTTGTGAATCACCCTGTATTTTTTACACTAAAAATTACTTGTCATCAAACTTAAGTTTTCTCAAAATTTCTATTTCTGCCAACAAGAAAAATATAACAAATAAATAAAAGACCATCTAAGGAGTTTTTAGGGCTCTCTTTTAGGTAAAAAATAAAGTTATGATCCTGTTTGGCTAACCCAAGTCTTTAATTGAAACATCTCAAAAATGTCGAACAAAAAAAATTTCTACGACGGCCTGTTGACTCTAATTAAAGTTTTCACATGAATTATGACTAACGCTGTATTGTCTATAATTGTTAATTTGTGTAATTTTTAGTCTGTTTCTTTATTTCATTGAGTATTTTGCTCTACCGAGCAGAAAAAGGAATAAAATTTAAGAATTTCGCTTTTCAATAAAATGGTAAACCAAATCAATTAAAGAAAGTAATCAGTATCTATACTTAATAATAAGGGAGATGCGTGAATAGATAAAAACAAATTACCTTGAGTCGGAGCACCAAATTCACTAGAACATTGCGGTTTTAAAAACATACTCCTGATGTCGCTCTGTTTTAATGTTTTACTTTGACTTAATTGAGAATGGCCTAAAAAAAAATATGTTTACATTTTTCGCCCGTTTTTCATTTCAATTATAGTACCACAGCAAAAATTACATATACAATAAAAATTGTATCTGCATTTGAAAATTATGCAATTTAATAGTTGTGCCAATATAGAAAATATGCTAAGAAAAACCAAAAATTTGTACGTGAATCTCTTACCTATTTGAGTGAGCGGTATATTAAACCTCTTCGAATCGGCGCGTTGCAAAAGACTAACCAACAGCTCACTGCTCGGCGAATGCTTAACCAAATGGACGGGTTGAAGAACTCTCTGCTTCTCCAATTTTTTTGAAAACAAATTCGAAATTTTCAAGTTTCTATCCACGGGATTTTCTAAAGTAACACTATGTGAAACTATGACTGGTTTTAATGCCAATAAAATTTACCTTTATTCCACAAGAATTCTGGTTTCGGAATTCTGTCCTGTACCTCTACAATTTGTAGGTCGGGAGGGAAATACGGCTCTGAAGATTTATTGGAAATATTCCGGAACATGTCCTAAAATTCCTTTAAAAATTTAACTTTCAGTGGGGATCAGTTTTTTAAGGGTACTAGTACATGTTCCCTGGATTACTAATATATTATTATTTTTTAATCAAATAAATAGTAGTTTTTGAAACTGCACTTAAACTCTTGTCTACGCCATCACTGGGCAGCTCCCGAACTCATTTGTATGTACATAATTAGCAGTGCTGAATATTGTTAACTTATTTAAATCAACTGGATGAAATTAACGGACTGGAAGGAGCACCAAACAATAAAAAATACTGTAAATAAAATTAATTTGTGCTTCAAAATAATAATTTTTGCCGTTTTATAAAATGTACGTAATAAAAAATACTAATCTGATAGATTTGAAATATATTTTAAAACTATTTGGAGTTTTTAATCAAAAGTATTTATTTACTATTTTTTCAAAGCACTGTGTTTGTTTCGTGATTCTCTGTGTCAATGTTTAGGTGAACTACATGTCAATCCGCCTGATGTGACATGACAACAGTTAATTTTGTGAAACATTTGTTTACACTTCAGTTTATCGATTTATGAGATGTCTGTAATATAGTAAGTAATTTTGTGACTTTCTGTGTAAAGTGTTTTTACTGAAATCGAAATAGAATTTTTCAGAGTTTATTTATTTCAGTTTGACGATGCTACAGTGTGTTTACGTGTACAAATCAAGAAAGATGAGATTTCTGCGATTTATCGTGGCTAAAAAGACAATTATTTGAAAATCACGAAACAATAGTTAAAAAAAAACAGTTTTATGACGGACTTTGAGAAAACAAAATATAAATGCCAAAGGTAAAATCCGCGACCTCATTAAAAGATGGTAAAATCCGCGACCTCATTAAAAGATACATCGTATGTACAGATAAATATCTTATGTTCTTACCTTTATCGAACTATTCTTGGACAGAGGCACTTTTTTTATGGTAATATATATTTTATTACATTTAGGTTGGACTTCTAGAGGTACTAATCGGGGACTATCACTACTTAAGCCCTTGGAGATCTCCTTAGACGAAAGCACCTGCAGCGGAATATTATTCTTGTGCATCAAACAATCTTTTAAAATGTGCTGCTCCTTTCCCTCGGTTACCAACACTATTATACGACCCTCTTTTTTCCTTCCCGTCCGGCCCATTCTCTGAACCATCCGTACCGGCGACTTACTCGAGATGTCGAAACAAACGATTAAATCGACATCTCCGACATCTAAACCTTCTTCGCCGATGCAGGTGGACAGTAAAACATTGCACTCGCCTTCTTTAAATGATTTGATCACCTGATAAATTGGAAAATTTTCACTACCAAGATAACGCCTTGTAAATTATATGGCGTACAGGTAAAAATACTTACGCTCAGCTGTTGACGTTGCGTAATTCCATGCGCTTGGCCGACAAATATTCTCGGTCTCAACAACGGCCTGGCTTGATTGAGCAACGCGTAAGCTTCTTTGACGGAATTTCTGTATTCGAAAAAAACTATTACCCTACCGGAATCGTTCTCTAGTGCGAAGTGGGACGCCAATATATCGCGGAGCTTGTAAAATTTTGGATGGCCGAATTTGGAGCTTTTGGGTATCTAACAAAAAAGAAAAACATTAAAATGCAAGACATACATCTCCGATAACATTAATTTACGTACTTCAACGAAAGAACCATCGGGTAGTTGCTCAATTACAGGCTCTGGTCCTAAATATTCTCTTATGTCATTCATTATTTCTATAAGGCGCATATTTCCCTTTAAAAGTGGTTTATCTGCATGTTCTGGAACAATTATTCATTAGTATTTTACATAAGGAAATATTTTTTTTTACGCACCATCAAAAAATGATAAAAAACTCCTTAACCCGTGTCTTATAAGTAGTTCGAAACCATGATACAATGTGACGCATATGTTTAAACTTTTCATTATTTCCCCATAATTTGATGAACTGGAAAGAAATTAATTACTCGTGGGTTCAAAGGACGATTAGACTCGTTAGGTCATAGAGGTATGGTGGCAATCGAAGAAGTGTATCACTTTAAGCATTTCCATTTTTAACAACGCTATTTGGAATAATTAAGATGTGAAAACAATAATACGTCTGTAGATATTATTTCAAGAGCACTTACCCCGTATTATGAGCATTTTGCTGAAATTGTTTCAAGGTCATAAAAATTTTTCCTTTTGTTAAATTCCCACAATTTCCTTGAATAACTTTGTACTTTATCAGTGTTCCAGTATAATATTCCAATATCTAAAAATTTGTTCGAATAGAAATTTGTATTACAATTAAACAAAAGATACCTTTAAGTAATCGTCACGTATTTTTTGCAGTTTCTCTCCCAGCGGCACTACAACAGTAGTTAAATTTCTTTCAAATACATATGGACTGACATCTAAACTTTCTTCAGTACGAAATTCCAAATGAGATATTAATAAATTTTTAACCACCTAGGAACACAATATTACATTTTATTTGATTTTGCCGCACAAAATCATGCTCTTTTAACTATTATTTACCTCCAAAACATCACTAACAGTACTCCCTGGGGTTGCGCTCAAGGCCAAAACTCTGAAATATTTATTGTGAGGAAGTAATTTTCTAATTACCTCACAATAGGCGTGGTTACCTCTAGCTCTGTGTGCTTCGTCAAAAACGAGGCATTTAATTTTTTTATAAAGTCCCGTCAACTTCTCCAGATCATTTTGTAAGATTTGTGGAGTGATGAAAAATACTCTTTTTTCCATCCAGATAGTTTCTCTGGAGGAAGACAGTTTCGTACCTAAAGAAATTCTACATTATCTTTACCGGTTAACATTAAAAAGCTATAAACATCTACGTCGCTACTAACCTGTTAATTCCACAGTTACATCTTTGGGTATGGCCATGATATCATAACATGCCTCAATCTGCTGCTTAACTAATGGTCTCGTTGGGGCCATAAATATTACTTTTCCTTGTGGGTACCATCGGAAAAAGTTATACATGACTACAGCTGCGATAAAAGTTTTTCCTAAACCCGTGGGTAGACTTACCTATAGTAAAATGTATTATAAATCAATTGTTAGACAACAATAATCTAAATGTTTAAAACTAACCAAAGTGTTTTTAAGTAATGCCTCTTGTACAATGTTGTACTGGTAATCCCGCACAGGATAATTTGTAGGATATATCCATGTCTGCCCTGCCTCTAAATCAAATCCTTCCGTTTCTAAATCCTTAGAAAGATTAAATCCACTGAAATTGAAAATTATTAATTTTTTTATCTCCGTCATAAATCTTACATACAATGGGTCTATTTCTTGAGTCATAATATGTACGTTTTTTTAATACAATGCACACAAAAATCTTCACGTTATATGTACATACATACAAAACTTTGCCATTTCAAATTTCTCTTCATTTTTTAAATTTGACAGTTTTGAACACAAAACATATTTATAATCAAATTTTGATTGTTTTGAATTTATTTTGACAGTTCTTTGACATATCACCGACACTGGTCACTGACCACTGACCTCTAAAATAAGTACTGTCAACTATTAGGTTGGATTCACATGCATGCATGATCACGGATCGTTGTAACCACCTGACCATCAACATCCAATCCGATTTGACCTTGTTTTGAATTGCTCTATATAGAGACAAAGTTTATACATCAACATTTTACACTGATCGTAAAATTTTTCGTGCAGGTCACAGGTCCATATCAAAAACTACTCATTTGTTAAAGAGATCAGTTTTATCAAAAGTCAATAGCAGTATCGTAATGAATTTTGAACCTTTATCGAAATGCGCATGCGTCTTGGTGTTGGAAACTGTTTCGGATTACTCTAGGAACAAAGCTGCTATCTGAATTCGTGAAGTAGTTTTCTATTTCATTTGAAACTATTGTATTTTGCAAAAAAAGGTGATCAAAAGTGGTCGACTTAAGATCACAATTCTTCATTCCCCTTATCGATTTGTATTATACCGCGTCTCAAATAAATAAAACACAAAATTGATTGGAAATTAATATATTTCTAATTTTATTTATATTACGTGCGTTATAAAAAAAAAAACAAAACCAGTCGACAAACGTGTTCTATATATATGTATAAAATAAATTTTTTAGTACATTGAAAAATAAAACAGAATTTACACTTTCTAAAAATTATTTCATTTAAAATTAGTTCCATATACTACAAACTAAAATAAATATAACTATAATAAAAAATAGTTGCATACACTTTTTTGTCCTCTTAAGTCCAAATGCATCATGAAAAATATTCATCTACTAGGAAACATTTATTACTAAATTTTAATTTTTATATTTTTAAAAATATATATCGTAGATTTTGGAATATTGGAAATTACTATTCTGAACAGAAGTATTAGTAACTTAATTTTAAAGAGGAATTATTTATTATGGAACAATTCCATTATTGAGATAGTCCCTTTATCCCCATAAGTCCTCGGATCTTCCAAATTTGTAAATAATAGAAGCAATTAATATCAACGCGTTTTGTAAGAACAGAGCTACACCTGGCCAACGATTTCCTAGAAAAAATAAATACATTTCTGTAATCCTTAAAAATTCTCGTGCAACAAAACAAACCTTCTTTCATGTAATCGGAGAACAATATTCCACAAGAGGCAATCACGGATGCAAATCCCATGACAAAACCTAAAAACAACCAAATCCTAGCACCACGGGGCCCCATACAGCCTCCTTCATATGCATCTCCTCTCATCTAAAAAATTTTACAACTATATTCTTTAAGGAAACAGTAATTCTTTTGGCTTTTATATGGACTGTTATAAATATTCTACCTGAGCATTAGAAATTGAATTAACCATAATCAAAGACAAAGTGCCGACAACACCGCACATGTGGTATCCTGGTAAAACAGTATTGTGGCCACTTGCAGCGTCAATAATCACCCACCATCCTACGAAAAACTACAACAAAAATTTTATATTTATCTTAATCTCAATCTACACGTAATTAGAACACATTAGAACTGTAGAAAGTGAAATTAACCACATATAGCTTAAATCGTAAGTTTATAATTAAGAGTAAGTTAGCCATTTCATATTTCATTTCTTTTTTGGAATAAGACTAAAGTTGAGACTCAAGGATAGGACGTTTTTTTAAATCCATTATTAACAATGAATCAGCAATGATTCAGAAAGGAAGGGACATTCTTGTGTGCTTTTAATTTATAGTGGTAGCCATACTACAAGTTTTGAGGATATACAAGTACAACAAAAAAGTAATATTAGATTCTAATCCAGTTTAGAAACTAGTATAATTTTTAACAAAATGTAACATAATAAATTTCGATAATCCAGTAAATATTGCAAAAAACTTACTAAAAATCCTGCTAACATAGAGGCATATGCATTCCTTTTGTCTCCTCCTTCAAACCACACACAAGGAGGCATGCTGATATTTTCAAAGCAATCGCAAATACCCATTTTGTATATACCTTGTATTAAAATCTCAATTTACTTATTAAAAATAAAAATATTTTGACAGTTTTCAGAAATGTTAGTTACAGTAAGGGTTTTTTGGCGAGAAAACCGCTAACCCGGTTAACTATAGTTTGTTGAGGTTTGACGTTTTGGCGAGAAATGTAGTTAACCCGGTTTGGCAGAGTTTGCCTAACCATCAAACCGGACTTGTGGGTTGGTTTGGATATTAAGTTAATATTTCTATCTTTGTTTATTTATTTTCTGTTTCGTACCATCGTACCTAGTCACTACTTCGTTTTTTTAGAGGTTTGGATAGGTATAAGTTGTAAATAAAAAAAATTGATAATGGATTAACTTTGCAAAAAATACAAAGTAAATATTTAAAATTGATAATAAAAAAATAGTAATCGAGGATCCAAATAACTTTAATCGTAGATATGCATATTCTATATTGTACTGTATAGATCTTTATTAACTTCCTTTTTGACGATACATTTACGTGGGAATAGATATTTGTGAAAAGGTAAACCCATTTTGATTTAATAACCATCTATACATTAACGTTATTTCATGGATGTGCATTTCAGATTAGGAATAACAATTATAGTATATAAGAAATAATCAAACAACTTGAGCTACGAGCACTATCATAGATTATAGGTTACGATTTTATTATTGATTAGATATCCAAACCAAAAGAATTTTTGCGAGTTCTGTCAAATGTTAACTCAAACTCTTAACACAATCAAACTCGAGCTAACCGGGTTTGATGTGGTTTGGCTCGCCAAAAAACCCTTA